TGCGCTGATTCGAAAGCTGTTAGTTTTATCTCTCTCCAAACAATATTGACCGAACCAGCAGCAAAAGAAGATCCAAACTAAGCTTCACATAAACATCGTCATTGACTCCCTCTGACTTTTGCTGTTTTGCTTCCACCACGATAAAATCACACTTCATGCACAGCTCTCGCATTCTCTCTCTCTCTCTCTCTCAGTGTACTTCAAGAACAGTTTCCCGTCTATATCCGAAATCTGTTTTCTGCATTATTCGCTTGCTTGTTACGCACAAGTCTACTGTTACTTACAGCGCTGTTGGCCAATGTTTTTTTTTCCTTATACTCACTTCCGAAAAGAAAACCTAATTTCTGCCGTTCAACAGGCTTCTGAACAAATTTAAACTTTTTAAAGTTATACAAAATGCAAAACGCTTAGCCGTGTCTCTAATAAAACCGCTGTAACTTCAGAGGTAATGTTCATGTGTTGATTAATGGTTTTATTTCGTTTTTGATGTACTGGAGAATATCTTTATAAAATCCCAGGCCAGGAAAATCACCTTCATGTTTTTCTGTGTTTTATCTTCAGCTACTTTGACACAAAGGCATCTGCTGTGATGCTTACACCTTTGATAAAGTCTTGCGAGTGTCAGCTTCCTTCTTATAGATACAAAAATACGGAAATGTACTGATCTGAATTATAATATTTCTGACTGTCTGAGGCAAAATTTCCCAGATTCAAATCGAATTGAATCAAATCGTGGATCGAATCGATTCAGGACCTTGTGAATCGGAATCGAATCGATTCTAGAAATCAGTGACGATACCCAGCCCTAATGACCAGTATCTTCTGAAGGCTAACATTAATGTTAACAAACTTCAGACAGATTTTGATCTTTATCTGATTTAGTGGCGCTGACCTCTTGTTGTACAGGAACCGCACATTTTAACATGCCAAATATAAACACAGTGTGACTCACACACCTTAAAGTTGAGCTCATTTAGACATCATCATTGTTCATTTGGAGTTACGCTTATGTCCATTTAATAAATGTATTAACTCTTCTGTTAGTTGCTCTAGTCTCTCTTGAAGGAAATATATTCTCCCTTTTCCCTTTGTTTACTTGCTGGATGGAAACTTTATGCAGCACTTTGTCCTGTACAGATAACTTTTTTCTTTCTTTCTTTTTTTTTTAGCTTTGTGACAATAACTGTGTGCATCAGCTGGAGATTGGAGCGGTGTCTCCTGGTTAGAAAGATTATTGCCTTAAAACTGTCGAGTGTTATTATATTATTTTACATTGCTCAACTGCCACTTTTAGTGATCTAAATTGTCCTTTGAAAATCAAACGCTGCGTTGTCTCGACTCCATCCTGACAGGCTGGTTATATCCGAATCGATGGCAGCGTACCGTCATCAGAGCGAATCCAGTTGGTCCACAGATTCCAGAGTGACCCAGAAACCCGAGTGGCCATCCTCAGCATCCAGGCAGCTGGACAGGTACTTGCATACTTATCCAGCAGGCTATGCAGGCTATGCTTGATCATAATAAAGGAAATAAGACACCCTGCAGTCAATTGGAAAATCAGCTAAATAGACTCAATTTTGCATATTAGAGGTAATTATGGTTTGTACTGGTTGCTGTGAATCCTAATATCATAGAGAAATGAATGGTGGAAACGTGTTCTAGTCTTAATAATAAACTCATTGACCTCAATTATTCTGAGTGACCAACAGAAATGTTATGCATTCCAATCAAAAGAAGTGGGTGCTTGAAGCACTTACGTATCAATTAGCTGATAATATTCTGCTATTAAAAAGAATTTCAACAAATTCAATTTCATTCAATCGGACTGGATTGTTCCATTTTTGAGGTGGTTGTACTGGGTACTCTGAAACAGATATGTAGCGTGTGTGTTTGTGTGTGTCCTCTCCAGGGTTTGACCTTCACCGCTGCCAGCCACGTGGTGTTTGCCGAGCTCTACTGGAACCCCGGTCACGTCAAGCAGGCTGAAGATCGTGCCCACCGCATTGGGCAGACGTCCTCCGTCAACGTGCATTATCTCATTGCCAAGGGCACCTTTGACACCGTCATGTGGTCCATGCTCAACAGGAAGGTACTGTGGGTGACATCATGGCAGCAAAGTTGGAGAAATTTATGCAAAGCTGCTTATGATTTCACTGGTCATATTAAATTTGAATGATAAATCACCCTTACTGCTCTTGTACTGATTAGGCTCTTCAGTGTTTTTAATGGAGGCAATACTAACATTTGCATATTGCTACGCAATAAGTTTTAAGAGTAATCCAGAAGTTTCTCTTCCTGGACAGGATGTTTCTGTCTCCAAATTACGATTACACATCATGGCTTCCAAACTGATCATCACAAACGAAGTTGTGAATAAATTTAAATGATTTCTGATCTGAAAAATATTTACTTACCACATTTTCGGTGACCAATTGTTACAGTTTTGCCTTTGTGCACAACCGTAATAGATTTAAGACCTCACGCAAGTAGGTTTGTCAACATAGGACAACAGTGGTGAGTGATCGCAGGACCTTTTTCATGGTTAAAGGGAAAACTCCTTTACGACATCCAACCAAGAGAAAACCCTTTTTCCTTAAACTGTTCACTTGAGTTTCTTATTGTTTTATTTAAAATGTATTCTTGTGGTGTAAAGAAGCAAAACTGTAAAAAACCAAAAAAACCAACAAAAAAATGTGTCACTGTTCATAAATTTGTGGACCTAAGTGTGAAGTGAAGGTACAACATAAGGTTCCTTGTGTTTCAGGAAAAGGTGACTGGCAGCACTCTAAATGGAAGAAAGGAATATCTGAAGGCCGACGAGGGCGACAAGGACAAATGGGAGTTCCTCAACTTTGCCAACGCGTGGACGCCAAGTGAGATGGCGCTGCCGCTGGAGGGAAGCACAGGAAATGCCAAAACCGACGTCTTCTTTACTCATGTGAGTCAGCAGGAAATCTTCAACAGACATCTATTTCTTTCTCTCTTTAAATTAGCTCTGACATGCCGAGCCATCGAGTATAAAGCCACAGGAGCTTTCATAATAAATGAGTCTAATTTCATATAAAGTCATCACACTTACTGTTTGGTTTGTTCCTCATTTCTCTATGCCACCACTGGCTCTGTAGCTCCATAGCAAAGCATAATGTGATGTATGAGAAAAGAAAGTTGCTTTTTCTCGTTGCCATCATAAATAAATCTGCACGAGGACCTTGGGAGCTCGAGAGCTGTGGTCCGGGTGGCGATAACTAAATCGCTGCATAAGGAGTTCTTGTTGCGGCATTGTCATTTGAAACTGAGTGTAGAAAGCTGTTAAACTTTGTGTGTAGTCAGAAGAATTGGACGAATGCGTCCTGGGCGCAGATTTTCATGTTTACTGTGATTATTGTACGAATGTAAAAGAAAACAAAAGCATGCACACAGACGTGGAAACGTTTCACACTACTGATCAGCCACAACATTGAAACCACACTTTGAATATTGTGTAGGCTTTCACTGCCACACGAACTCTGAGCTGTTAAAGTGCAGACTCCTGGAGACCTTTGACCTTTGTCCTCTGGAGCCCAGACATTAAGCAGCAGATCCTTAAAGTCCTGCATGTTGCGAGATGGGGACATCCTCACAGAGACATCCCACCACATTCAGATCTAGGCCAAGTCAGCACCTTGAACTCTTTGTCAAGGTCCTGAAAAGTGTTTGCAGTGCGACAAGGTCCGTAATCCTTCTGAAATAGGCCACGGCCACCGGGAATCCCGCTGCAACAAATCCAGCTCCAGCTACGCTCACGCCTAGTCAAGTAGTGTGTGGGGTGTAAAGGTTGTATCCCTAAAAAAGTTCAAATTCATTTAATTTTTCAGTCAGAGGCTGAACAAGTTTACCATTTAAGGCCATTTCATACTGGAATATCTTGCAAACATGAACCAGTAAGTCCAGAGAGGAGGTTCTTTTGTTATCTGCCACTCACACTTTCTGTCTCAGTTTCACATCAGAAACCCTTCCTCTTCTTTTTCTTCTTTTATTGTGAAACATTCGGAGGAACAGTCTGTGGAAAAATCACATTATGAGCAGATATTTGCTGCTCTTTGTTGTTCATTTGTAAGGTTGTCCGCTCATTACCAGCAATTATGTCCTTAGCTGTTAGCTCTGCACTCCTCTCTGACTGTTGGCGACTAAAATCTGCTCCAGTTGGTGGAAACAGGGTGTTGTGTCACATCTTAGAATGTTTCAATTTCACTTGTCGGTGGTTTTAATGTCGCAGCCAAATTGGTAAAATGTGTAACGCTTGTTTTTTTTAAGAAGAGACACATGGTACTGTTAGGATCATTATTTAATGACTGTGATGACTCGAGACGAAAAATGAAGACACTTTATAGTGTGATGGATTTATGAATTATGAAAAACTGAAAGAGCTGCACAAAATTTGTGATCAACATTAGAACATTTTGTATTTGTAGCATTGTATTTTTACATTACTGATGTGTAAAGAATTAAATGGGGTTTCTGATCATCGTTGCGTGTGTTACCATGGTGTTGCTGTATGCAAATGACTGCCTTTGATGGTGAAAACAAAAGGAGGATTTGATTCAGGGATGCTTTGTCACTTTACAGGTGGATTGAAAATTGGGTGCTACAGAGACAAAAACCGACTTGAGCTTGTATTTTTATTCATTATTTATTTTATATTTTTTGCTTTAGTTTGAGAAAGAAAAGCAGCACGACATCCGTTCCTTCTTCTCTCCGCAAGCTGGCAAGACGAAGAGGAAGAGAACAGAAGATGAAGAAAGTCCCTCCATCTCCTCAGAGACGGCTGCCACGCCAGCTGGCATCCGGGTATACTTAGAAAACAGCGAGGAGGGGAACGAGGAGTCATGCTCCCAAACCTCCAAAACGCCCGATCGGGATTTCTCGCCCCAGCTGAAAAGGCTGCGAACACCGCAGCCCAACCGGAGCCCCACGTCTCGATTTGGGGGAAGCGGAAGTCGTCTGCAGGGGGATCAGCGCAGGCAGACCTGCCAACGCGGTCTCCCTAATGTCTCAGCCGTCTGAGCCTGATCCTGCATCCGTGTGGAATTGCGGGGCCTGCACCTACTCCAACAGCAGCCTGTTGCCGTACTGCGAGATGTGTGAGTGCCCGCGCTCTACCTCTGCTGTCAGCTCAGGTAAGAGTAAGGAACAAATAATATCCAATTATCCGATCCCCCCCCTCCTCTCACCCATCCCACCCCCAACCTGCTGTTTGCGTCTGCCTGTGTGGCCCTCTTCTTCTTCTTCTCCATCTTTCTCTTTATTTTGCTGTTGTTTATTTTTGTTTTTAATTAAATTCACAAACCTGATTGCAAATCAAACTGAATTTTATTAAGGAAACGCACGCACTTCCATCATCTCTTGTCTAAAATGAAGCACCTGAAGCTGAAATCCATTCATTGCTTTATTTTCCTTCCTGTCAATATCAATCGTGGCAGTCTGTTGACATAATACTTTTGAACAGCATTACAGATTTCACCAGATGGAGATGCGAGATAGCAAAAGATGGAGGCAGACTTCCCAGAGTCTGAAATAGCACTGCTCAGAGAATATTGTCTGTCTCCCTCTCCTCTCTCTCTCTGCAGATGACAAGGACACAGTATAATTCTCACCTGTCAAGCTGAGAGAGAGAGCGAACAGGCGCCTACTATTGCTGCAAACGTCTCACACAAAGTTGGGAAAAGTTGAGCTGGCTCGAGCTGATATCTCTGACAGCCTATGATTGTATCTTGCAAAGAAGAGGGGAGGGAAGTCGTTATGACCTGGCAGACTGCAGGTCCATGCTCTTTAGATGTCTGAGATGCATCAAATCAGTTTGAGAGATGATTTAAAAAAAATAAAATCCCCAAACTTGAATGTAGTTCACAGCTGTAATGTTTAGGTAACATGAGTTTAATACTTTTAGTACTCCACTGGCTGAATAAAGCCTTATATGAGCATGAGCTAAAGATAAGTCATTAGTAAAAAAAAACCTAGTTTACGGCAGGTTAAGGTAGCATTTACCGATTGCTTTATAAAGACAGACTGCACTGCCTGATCACACACTTTATTTGATGCACTTAGAGGAGGCGTATTACTCTTCTCCTTATTTTATCCCACATATATCCTGTTAAATAATGAGGTCAGACTCTGTGCAAAGTAATCCCAGTTATACACTTTTTTTTCTACTCTTGGATCTATATGATGCCCAAGAGGGTGGACATCCCTAATATGGTCGTTGCAGGCACACAGCCAAGAGCAGCGAGTCAAAAGGAGCAGGTTTAAGGCGAACCAACACAGAGTATCAACAAAGACCAGCACAATGAAAAAAGATTATTTTGATCTATCAAAAGCTACTGTAGTCCAAGAATAAAACTGAGAAGTTAAAAATGAGCACAGCAGGTCAATTTTAATCAATTCATGTTTTTAACTATGGTACTTCAGAAAATTATTAAAATGTTTAAAACAGAGCAAAATGCACACTGATGAATGACACAGTTTAATCTCAGTGTCAGAGTAGTTATGTATCCAGACGAGTCATAAAAAAAGTAATTCCACATGAGCATAACCTCTGGCCTTCCAGACTGCCAGCTCGATGAGGTAGCAGAGTACAATACTGTCAAATAAAGCCTTTCAGGCTTGATGTTGAAATCTAAATTATTAGTTGGAGAACAGTAATTATAAAGAGCACATCTACCATGAAAAGCCTTTTTGCTCCAGTGAGGGTGTTTGCTTTTATTCACCTTCACTCTGAAAACATTTGAGAATTTGGGGAAGAAGAAAAGGGGGGGAAAAAAACACTTGTTGGCGCTTTTACCAAAAGACAGGTGATGATTGATGTTAGCCTCGTGTTCGTGAGCTAAATATGGAGCTGGAGTCGGTTGGCTTTGAGAACAGCTAAGCTAGATGTTTCACTAAGTTTAAAAGTACCGTTAACCTTGTAATGCCTAAACCATAAAATAACTGCAAAAAAATTAACATCTTTGAAACTGCAGTGTTTATTGAGATACTCTCGGTGTTACAGGGTTAACAGGATTTGTTAAATACGATGTGTCGCATTTATTCAATCTATGCCTTTTCCAGGTTTTACATTTTGGAACCATGGCGGACAAAGAAAGTCCCAGGAGGACACCATAGATTGTTTATGATAAGACACAGCCTCTGAAAAAGGCCAGAGCTCACCATACTTTCTAATGGCCAGCAGGGGGCGACTCCTCTGGTTACAAAATGAAATCTGATTGTATAGAAGGCTATGGCAAAATGATGCTACTTCTCACCTGCTTTATGACCTCAGTCAAATCATTCCACAGGTTTTGTTTTCTTTTTTGCTTTATTTTGTGAATTATGGACCCACTGCAGGTAAAATAGATAATAAAGGTGAGTATGAGTTGGGGCGTGGCTACACAGTCCCCTGTTTTCAAACATATTCCTGCTACACCCTGTCCTTGCTCCAAGAGAATGAAAGCCAAAATACCAAACTCGAAGTTTTCAAACAAATGGCAACATTGTTGTCCATCTTTTACCTACAGTCTATTATGGGTGATAACATTTGGCTGACTGATAAACTTTAGAAACACGCTTCCCGTAGATTACATTCTACATAAATCTAAGGTTACCTAACTAGTTTAGCATCCTTTAGGACTCTGTAAAATGTTGACATCGATATAGTCCTAACACTATAGCCCTGCGTGTGTTTAAAGAAAAAGGTTGACACTGCATTAATGACTCTGAAGTCTCTGTATTATAATATAAGCGCTATAGTGAGTGCAAGCACACAGTAAATATTGGCTGAAGGTCTGTTTGCGGCTCGGTCCATTGGAAGTGAAGCCGGTGCACTTAAAACAGACACAGAACAAACAAGCAGTACCTCAGCTTTTGAGCAGCATAAAAACACCCACCCACACATTTTTCTTTTTTAACAAAATTCAGCCCCCATTTCATGCTCAGCTGCAGCAGATGCTTGATAACTATTCAGCAATCACACTCTCTTCTTTGTCACAAGCGCCACTCTGCATTCACAGCAGCAGGCCGTGTCAGCTTGCTAGACAGGGAATTTAACAACCTGCTAAATTTGTAAATGACAGACTGCGCGGAAAAATAACAACTGTATTTATGAAGATATCTCTCAACTTGGCACTGCAATCCACAGCTCGTGGAAATGTAAGAAAATAATCAGGCCGAAGCCTGTAGTGTGACATGAGAAATGCTATCTCTTCAAGAGCAACAATTTTTCACAATGACTATAAAGAAAGCCAGGACGCTATGAATCACAGAATACTGACACATGATACAAGGACGTCAGGGCTTTGTATTTAAAGTAAAGGCAAAGATGTATCCGAGGCATTTGGCTTCCGCTCTGTATTTTCACAGAATGGCAAAAATACAACAAGCCAGCAGCTGTAGAGGAAGAGCAGCGAGCAAACAGAAGGGATATTGGTCTGTTTTACCGTGAGGCGTTTGGACCAGAATAAAATGTACCGGAAAGTAACAGAAGGAGATGCATGAAGTAAGAAGGAATAAGATTTCAAGGGCATTTTCTTTTGTTCAGTGGAAAGTATTGATGCTAGATGTGGGAAGCAGGAGAAACGGGAGCTTAAAACCTGGCTACCACCCTTTGCAGAGCCCTGTGTTTCTTTAGCTGTCGTGGTTACATCTGTCAATTCTTATATTCTAGCACATCACGCTGCAGTGGCAGATTTACTGCCGAAAATGGGAAAGTTTGTCACTTTTAAGTTTCACAACCAAAATAATCAGTGTCACTATAGATTTTAAAGGGTACATTTAATGGTAGATTTTCAGCTCTAGATTCTCATTCCCGGGCTCATCTAGACTCGTTTTGCATAATTGACAGTTTAAAAGAATCCCTTTTTATATCAACTTTATATCAACTCAGTGAAACTTCTTTGTTCTTCTGTTTTAAAAGTCGTTTCAGCTGCTCTCTCTTTAAGCCCTCCCTTCCTAGAAGCCTACTTTATGAATGACTAACTTCCAAAAGCTTGCCAAGGGGCAGCACATAGTGATTATGAGCTATACCGGCTGTACGATGGGGCGATCGTGGCTCAAGAGTTAGGAGTTCGCCGGGTAATCGGAAGGTTGCCGGTTCGAGCCCCGGCTTGGACAGTCTCGGTCGTTGTGTCCTTGGGCAAGACACTTCACCTGTTGCCTACTGGTGGTGGTCAGAGGGCCCGGTGGCGCCAGTGTCCGGCAGCCTCGCCTCTGTCAGTGCGCCCCAGGGTGGCTGTGGCTACAATGTAGCTTGCCATCACCAGTGTGCGAATGTGTGTGTGAATGGGTGGGTGACTGGATATGTAAAGCGCTTTGGGGTCCTTAGGGACTAGTAAAGCGCTATATAAATACAGGCCATTTACCATATTTACCATTTACTTCTTAGATGTGCTGTGCCTGTAACTTAAAACAAATCAATTCAATTCAGTCTTATTTATATACCACCAAATCACAACCACAGGCCTGTTATATTGTGAGGAAAAGACCCCTTAAGTAATACAGAGAACCCCCAACAATCAAACAACACACTCTGAGCAAGCACTTGGCAACAGTGGGAAGGAAAAACTGTCTTTTAACAAGAAGAAACCTCTGGCAGAACCAGGCTCAGTGGCCCCTGTGGAGGTCTCCCTGTAAGGAGTGGATATCCAGACTTCCAGTTCCCTCCAACTTCTTACAAATCCAGCTAAATTTTAAAAAGACAAGGTAATTAAAAGCTAAAATTTTGTCTAATGTTAACCCATTGTTTCATCAAATTTTGGAGTCCATCTTTTTCTGTCCGCATGGAGTCTTGTGCGAAACTCAGGTGCTCAAATTTGATTGGTTAGTAGTACTTTGACTACAATAGAATACAAAGAAATAGCAGAAAGCTTCTACTTTCAGTATTCTACATATTCATACATGGAGCCCATTTTTAGTTGCTCTAGTTTAAAGCCTGCGTTTTTTGCTAAAAGAGTACTTTTTCATTTAGCCCCTTTTGAGCTCTAGCTAGCAAGTGTTCGGTAATTAACACCCCCAGCTCAATTGTTGACAGGCTAAATATGTGAGAAAATTATATATTTGCCTGTTTAGCTTGCAGCTAAAACAAAACCTAGTCTTACAAATTGACAAGACCCTGGTGAGGAAGACGGATACATCACTCTTTCCAACACATATAATAGTCCTATATACACCAAGCATTTAAGCCTGTGGTGCCAGGTAGCTTATGATAAAAGCTTAGTCAGTTTTGCTTTGTCTTCCTCTCCTCCAGCCAATCACCGCTGATGGCAGTGCCCATTCTTCCTGTTAAAAGGGAGTTTTTCCTTCCCACTGTTGCCAAGTGCTTGCTAATAGGGGGTTGTGTGATTGCTGGGTTTTTCTCTGTAGTATTGTAGGGTCTTTACCTTAAAATATTAATTGCTTTAAGGTGACTGTTGTTGTAATTTGGTGCTGTATGAATAAAATTACATTTATTTGAATTTATTTGATTTAAAAGCAGTTAGATTAGCCCCTAACGTTTGTGTTTTTTATGTTTATGTATGTTTTGGTGATGTTGAAGTTGGCATTTGGCTTTTTTAATCCATTAAATGTTCTGTTCTGTCTGACAGAGACGGGAATTTACCTAATTCCAGGTGCTAAACAATAACATGTCATATTAATTGCATACAAATTGAATCGCTGTAGTGCTGTATCGTCAGTAATCCAGTCCTGGTTTTAATCAAACTGTCAGGGATTATTACCTCCTTCTTGTGACAGGGTTTATGTCTCCGGTGGGTTCGTCTGTATCGTCTCATATAGCTGTTTTGGCACCAGGAAACAACCAGGCAGCTTCTGTTGAACTATTTTCAAGGTGAATTAGTAGACTTCCTGTGCTTGCAGCTTTTTTTTTTAGACCTAGAGCGTGGGCATGGTTCAGTCCTTCAGCTCTTTCACTGGTAGACCAGCAATTTGTCTCTCAGCACCTACTGTGAGAGATGTACACAGGGAGAGGGCAATTTGGTTATCTCCTGGCTCTCTGTACCTCTCAGCTAGCACTCAAACCATGTGCTGATTTTTTATTTATTTATTTATTTTTATATCAAATTACAGAATTTAACAACAAAGTCCAGCTAAGTCTTTAACTGCCTGATATTGTACAGCATGTGAACCAGCTACTTTCTTTTTGTTTGATGGGTCTTCTGTGACTGGCTGCAGTTTTTTCCGAGCCCTGCCAACTGAAGGAATTCAAAGCATTTCCTGTTTTTATTTAACTACATCTGTTAGCTCACATGCCAGAACACATGCTTTTGGAATCCTTTTGCATGGCATTTTAGATTTGAGACTCGATGTTGGAACCTTATCAAACCACTACAGACATAATGGGCTCCTGATGGGCGGGGAGAATAAGGGGGATTGACTGGTAAAGTGGAGGCACAGCCCTGCAGGATTTTCCCGTTAACATCTTCTTCGGCAGGGACAGCTTAACAGAAATTGAGCCGTCTCTCTGCGGTCTTACTCGGCTTGTTAGTGAAGAGGGGCAGCGCTGGGGCCAGGAGCCCAGAGACTCAGATGGCATTTGAGGAAACCGACTAGAGGATGGCCTTTTGAAGAAACAAGCCAGAGAGACGCAAGATCACTAATTAGCCCTCTGCATCCTCAAGACTCACAACTTAGTGTCTTCTTACATTTCGCACCTCAAGTTTGACAAATATTGTGAAGAGATGTGATTAAAGTTTAACTAAGAAAAGTAAGAAATTGCATGACACTTTTTTTTTAAGAAGTTCTGTTCTGACCGTGACATTTACATTTGACTAAAAATAATAACGGTCTTTTCTTTAAGCAGCTAATCCATCTGTTAATTCTACTTTCCTAATAAACAGCAGCACAGAAAGTACCATTTAAAATAACGTGAAGTCTGCGAATGACGATGACATAATCCCTGCATTCATTAACATTTTTGTGGCTCAGATTTCTGCTTGACCTTCACAGAATTACAACATTCTGCATGAATGGAAATCGCTTGAATGGTTTAAGAGCGGAGCTGCAAAACAAGTTTGATAGGCGGACTTCAAGCTGACTCTTTAAAGCGAGATCTGCCGTTGGCATTCAGCCATTATCAGCTGTTTGAACACTGCTCACTGCACCCCGGCTGGTGCGCGCCACAGATGCAGTAATCGCTGACAATTATTTTGTTTAGGTTTGATTGCACATGATGCAGGCAAGCAATTAACAAAACAATGTGACACGAACGTAATTTGCTCTCTCAGCAAAACGATATTGGCTGTTTGGATCCAGTAGCTGGTGAAAGGAGGCTGGCAGGTGTTCATCTGTAAGTTCCTGCATCACAGCTGATGGGCTGCAGAGCAACAAAGACTTCAAGTATCCCAGATAGTGCTTACTTCCTGTAAATGGTCATTGTATATCAAGCAACTACTCAGAATAGGAAGATACAAATAAGACATACACTTGAATATATTTGCTTATGTGCACTTAAAATTCATCGCCTTGATTAAATATCTACTACTTAAAGGGGGCTTATTGTGCTTTTTTTTTTCTCTCCCTACTCTTGGATTTATAGACATCGACTTTATTTAATTCACTTGTTACAGCTACGCAAGAGAGGAAAGAAAATGTATATGTATGTACAAGTGCAGTGATAATGATACACATGTATTATTATTAATTAGTAGTATTATGTCACTAATAGCAGACATGCCTTTTGTGGTCATTTCGAGTACACAGGTCCAGCTGTGAGCACACAAGCCCCGCCCAGCTGCTGTTCTTCCTCCCTACAGAGGATGAACTAAGACGCTGCACCATTCCCATTCTAAGATAAAAAAGGATTACTTTGGATTTCACTTTAATCTCATGAGGGCAAAAGAATAAAAGTCAGGGAGGTCCAAATATTCAGTTTTTTCTTCTGTGTATTTTCATGTCTGTATCATCAGATTTGCAGATGGCTGTCTCTCTCTGAGCCTGAATCTTCCTGTTGAAAGGGAGTTCTTCCTTCCCACTGTCTCCGAATACTTCCTGATAGGAGACTGTCTGATTGTTGGGGTTTTCTCTGGTGTTATTGTCTTTACCATACAATAGAAACCACCTTGAGGCAACTGTTGTGATTTGCTGCCAAATAAATAATTGCTTTTAATTGTATTCCTTTTCTGCTATATTATTACTGTCTGTTTATTATTAGGGGGAAACCAAGGAAAAGAAAGTGAATAAATTACACCTGTCTGCTTAACATCATGACACTTACTGTTCATATTTTTCAGCTTTTGTCAGCTGTTATCAGTCAGACCATTGGGTTTCTGTGCAAAAAAAAAGTATTGAGGAAGAAGCTTAAATGGCTTGTTTCAGACAGTGGATATAATGAGGTGCTGCACTGAGGCCCGGTAAACAATAAATAAGGATCACTTTGAAATGTGAATCATGCAAAGATAAGAAAGTCCAAGAATAAAAATAAGGAGCTCGAAATGAGCATAATAGGTCCACAATAAAGGCTTGAAAATATACACATTCTTCTGCGCCCCTGCTTATGTCGACTCATTTACACCATCACACCCGCTAAACTTGTCAGTGAAGAACTTATGATGGCAAATAACATCACTAATGAGCCATATTGAGTTTTACTTTCATGTCAGCAGTCATTTTGTCACACTGTCACACTCTTCAGATGATGGATATCTTGCTCGGGAATGAAACTCTTCAAAGTCTGATTACACTGTGCGGCTCAGCCAATAGAGTAATCTTCATCTCTCTCTCTTTCTGTCTCTCCCTGCTGGCTCAGAGCCACCCAGGCCTCAGCTACCCCCTGCAACCCAGAGGGACCAGGCTTGTGTCGTTCTCTCCAGCTCCGACAGTGAGCCAGAGCTCAGCTGGGGAAAAGCCCGGCCTCAGAAATCACGCAAAGGCAAACAGAGCAAAGAGGGGGAGATGGAGGAGAAGGAGGCTGAGCCTCCCAAAGACAAACAGAGAGTGGGAGAAGCAGAGGAAGAGGACAAGCGGTGGCTCAAAGGCAAACAATCAGTGGGAGAGAGAGGCGACGTCGACGCTAGCGGTGGTGGCTGCCTCCCCCCTGACCGCACACAGGGTAATCCCACATGCAATCTTCTTCTTTTCATATCTAGGGAAATTGGCTAGTGCCTTCTTGTCACCTGCCCATATAATGCTGTTTAATATCATCACCTCCAATAAGGCACCATAGCTCATTCCATATGGGGCTAGGCATTATTATTCTTACTTCTTATTACTATTTCTGCACTTTGCGCCATGAAGCTACAGGAGATATTACAGTAAGTAAAACTTGGCTGATCTCCACTGGCTTTGAGGACCAGCGTACAGCACCAACTGACGAGCTCCTGATTGGCTGTTTTGTTTTTTTGTGTTGTTGTTTTTTTTTCTTTCAATAAAGTTGACCAAGGTCTAATTTCATGAAAGGCACAAGCTCCCTAGATGCTCCAGCTCGTCCCTGAAACACAACCTGCCGTTCCCCCGTCCGCTCTGGTTATATGTGCACATGTCTGTGAATCTCAGAGGGATGTGAGGAAACAAATTCCCAATTACACAGTGTGTAATATTGCAAATTAAGACCTCTGTGTTCAAGTACTCGTGTCTCAAAGGGATACGCAAAGCAATAAATTGCACTAATTACAAAGAACTAATTACACTGTGTGCAATATGAAGAGCTTTAAAAAAATGCCAGACTAGCAGAGTCTAAGAAAAGCCCGTGACCTGGGTGTTGCCTCTGAAAACATGTAGATGTTCATATTAAAGGGGTGACACTGAGCTCGGGGCTTTTTTCAAAAACATTATTCTAGAACACTCAACACGGGAAGGAGTAAAGCGTTCAGGTTTTAACAGGCAAGCCATCAATCCCCATTAGCCTTTAACATCCAGAGATCAGCGTGCAACAACCTGGCTGATTCCTGTTCTTGAGACACACGCACACACTTACAATTTGACATCTATTAGTGACCAGATTGTCGAGTGGTTAATTTCCCATCTTTGCAGATACGTGTGCCACCCCATCAGTCTAGGACTGAATTCCACTGCAGCTTTTCTTTTCCCTGCAGTGCCTTCTGTACTTTATACTAAAGGTGAGCAAAAAGCCTTTTTTAAAAATAAAAACACCTCTATTTAGACTGACTCAAGGGGAGCGATAAAAGCTTCACAGTCGATCAGAAATGGCAGCACTAAAGAGACACCGCTGGATACCAACTTGGCCCCCTACGTCCCCTTAGTCATGCACTTTTTCCCCTGGAGACAGCTCATGTCTACCTGCAGTACTGTGCAGGAGTTGTAGAGCTTTAAGCAATAGCCTAAACATACAGGCAGAGTGATACAGGGCTGTCTTAAGTGATGAGAACACCTTGTCTTATAACAGACACGGAAACAAGAGAAACACAAGCCTATAAGCTGCCCAACGCTCAGTGGAAAGCCACGTGAGCTTTTTAGATTCCAACACAGTGTTTTACAGTATTAAATTTGCCACTTGATTGTAATTTTTGAAATAATAGTTGTTTGGATTCCACAGATAAATGAATAAAAGGGGTTTCTCACTTTTAATTTTCTTATCTGAACCTTTCTTATTCAACTCCAGCTTTAATATTTTATCCAGGGAGTCCTCTCGAGTAGGTTTGCATGATTCATAGTTCAAAAGGATCTGTTTTTACCTTAAACTGTTGCTTATAAATTGGATGGACACCTGGCTCATGCAATTTATAAGCCATTTTAGTTCCTCCCTCTTTAAGCCACCCCCTTTCTGAAAGCACACTTTCTTCTGATTGGCTAATAGCTAAATCCCTGCCACAGTGCTTGTGGGTTTCACTTCTGCATTAACATTTGATCGATCTGTAGACTTTCAGCTTTAATTTAAGGGGTTTGACGAAGTTATTGCATTAACTGTTTAGGAATTGCAGCCACTTTTATATATTGTTTCCCATTTTTAGAGGTTCAGCCAACATGCTGAAAAAAATAAGGTCTGTTTTAAGACTGATAAAAAGTGATTTGCTGCCAGAAGTCTAGAAGTCATGGACATCACCGTGTTTGTTTGTGTTTCTTCCCTTGGGATGCGCAAAGGCTGCCACCTTCAGTCGCTGCTTATTTGTGGGTCTGTATCAGACCTGTGAATCGTACGGCCCCTGGGCCACATCTGGCACTTTGGTTGTCCTGCGTGATGTCAATGGGAAATTAGGATTCGAGCATAAATAAGTATACGTTATGCAGTTTCCCATTTCAGCCACCAAAACTCGTCATCAGAGAATAGATCACTGTTTTGTTTTTTTGTGAAGTCACAGTACAATTTTGTTTTCTTTTGTTTTCAATGTAGAGTTGTTGTTTTGTTTTGTTTAAACTGGACTAATACGTATTTATTTACTGATGTCAAAGGTAGTGCTGCGTGCTTAGTTTGTGGAGAGCTGACTGCTGAGTAACTTTATGCTTGAAATCCCGGGACAAACTGTCAGGTTTTATGATCTACTTTTCAATTTTCAGATTTATTTTTATTGGTATTTAAATGATACCTAGTTATATCTATCATTGAACCCAGATGACATAGTTTTTAAAACTACAGCTGTACTTGGTGCCTTAAAAATCAGAGAAACTGCGTCGAACCAGACACTTGCCTCTGAATGGCATACCTTGGCCTCCACCAACACTGTAAGAAATCTTGGAGTCATTTTTAACCAAGATGTCCAAATATGAAGAGCTACTTTCTTTTATCTGCACAAAGCCATTGGAAACTACTCTTATTATTATCAGGTTGTTCTAAAGATTCCCTAAAAACCTCCATTTAATCCAAAATAGAGGGTACTAACAGCGCCAAGAAAGAGATGATATTTGTCCCATATTGGCCTCTCTTCATTGGCTCCCTGTTAGAGGCACAATCAAATTTATAATCCTTCTCCTCACATAAAGGGGCAGGCCCAAACTTATCTTAAAGATCTGATAGTACTGCTATATATGTTGTCCTAATAAAGCACTTTGCTGTCAGACTGCAGGGTTACTTGTAGTTGTTAGAGTTTCTAAAAGTAGAATGGGAGGCAGAGCCTTCAGCCATCAGGCCCCTCTCCTGTGGGGCTCTGTGGGGTGTTTGATTGTTTGGTATTTTTCCAGAATACTTCTGGAAATAATACCTTCAAGTGACTGAACTGAATTGAAGTGACTGAAATTGGTATTTTTGGATTGTATCGAAAGTCAGGAGGTGTTGTGTAAGTCAGTCCTAAAAATTTACCATGTTGTTAACTTCATCAGGTTGAAAGGACTGAATCACAGATAGTTTGTTTCACTTTTGGAGGCGCTTCAGACTGAACATGGTAACGCGGACTAGCACACAGCTGTCACGTGGCTCCTCTTGGGCAAAGCGTTAAAAGAGTATGGGACCTGAGAGCAGTTTTGTAAGGACATTCCCGAGCTCTTAAATCACTCATGACAAAAAAATCTGGATTTCTGCCACTGAGTAAGAAAAAAAAAGGAAAAACTGCAGATAAAGTAATTAAACTACAAGAAAACTGGCAATAGTAGTTTGAAATTTAGCAAAAAGAGATTTTGTTCACTCTGTTTTTGGGAATGTGTTTTAAAAGATAAACTGCTTTTTTTTACCTACTTCACATTTTCATTGCCTAATTACAACAACAGCAGTTTATAAAGAGATAAAAATAATATTGAACAGAACTAAGTTCAGCTTATTAATTGCCCACCCACGGTATGTATGTATAGATATATAAGTATGAGCAGTTCATAAATTCATTTATTGAAAAAGGTACAAACATTAGTCTTTATAATGTAATAGCTTCCACAGCAGGACTCTATCTCCTTTCAGACTGCATTAGGCCAGGCTGAGAGTTGAGGGTCATCTATAAACCTGTTAGCTTGCCAGGCAGTTACCGCAGTTACCGTAGTTACCGCAGTCTGCCATTTTAACCATGTTTTTTCATGGTTTTAAGAAAAAAAAGACGAAAAAAAGCCCAATCTTGATCATAGAAGTGTTAAAATGGGACTGATCAGTACTGTACTAGTTAGTCCCGAAAAGGTTGATTCTGTTCACGTGGATGTAGAGTTTTCAGTGGGAGAAACGTTTCGTCAAGTGACTTCTTCAGTCTCAGCTGACTGCAGGTTTCCCCAATCTTATAAACCGTACATTTGCACAATGACTGAAACCAGCCCACTGAAGGAACAATGGGCTGTGAGGTCAGTTTCTTCATTGGTCAGTGTTGATCAGTTGTCATTATGCAAATGTACTGATTATAATTGACGAAATGTTTCTCCCACTGAAAACTCTACATCCAGACGAACAAAATCAGCTTCTTCAGGATTTCCTTACCTGGATGATTGAGCATGCATCAAGTCTTACTAGTTGGTGTTAGCCAATTAAAACCAAATGACTTACAAACACCCTCTTTAGTTGATTTTAAGGCTCCACACCCTCTGACCTTAAAGCTGGCATCACCGAAAACCCCAACACTATAGTAAATCTGTGCCACTTTAGTAGTTTTTAGTTGTGCTCCTAAGTCACTTTAATCATAGAATAAAGAAAAGAGTCATTCTGACTCACACGTGTTTGGGCTTTCTTCAGAAGTAAAGTTCGGTTCCTGCAGGGTTAGGGTTACCACCTATGATGAAATAGACCTCTGAATCCACCATCTCACTTGTAACCTGTGATTTTGTTCTAGCCACGTACTACATAGACAAATTTTCAGGGTCTTGAAGATAAAGTCTCACATTTTGAAACTTTTCTATTAAAACAATACATTTGGGTGTTTTAAACAGGCAACAATTCTACAAGAGGGATCGGATGGTAACCAAGCCCTACACCTAACTCTGACCCTAGAGTTTAGACCCAGTGACCTGGCGCATGTTACTACGTTAATGTCTTCACTTGATTTGTTATAGGTAGTTCCAGTAGTCCTATGGCAGATAGTACCGCTCTCACACGGCTCTTGTTTCAACACGAGGGAGGCAGCCTGCGCTGAGACAGACGATATTGACAGCTTAAATCTACAAATCAGACTGCCTTCAAAAACTGCACGAGTGTACTGGCTAGTATGCATGACGTAATTTGTTTTAGAAAAGAAAAACTATTCAAGGCATTTA